GCTATATTGATGGAGACCATGCTCCTGTTGATGTAATGAATCCTCCTCAACAAGAGACAGAAGCTGTGTTGGGGGAGAGCATCTCCCTCTGACATAGTGTGGTGTAGACGCTCCCCTAAACTTGGTGTAAGTTACATCACTTAGGATGGGTTTTTTTAATCCTCTCGCCCAAGTGACATCAACTTAAGCAGCTGTGTAGACAAGGCCTGGGTATTGGTATGTGTGAATGAGCAGTGCAGCTGGAGTTGCAGGCTTGTGGCTGAAAGTGAAGTAGGAACAGCATGGTTGAATGGTGGTTGATCATCCTTTGGTGATCTCTTCAAAACTGATGGAGACCCTTTGCAGATGTGCAATATGCTGCCCATCCAGAGCATTACTGTGTATGCTTCCGGCCAGGGGTTGAGCACTTCATCTGGAGCTGCCTGTAAAGTAGGGATGCCATTGAGAGAAAATAGTGGTTCTCCAGAACAAAAGCCCAGAGACCTTAGGAATGCCATCTAGTCCAGGCCCTCAGAGCCCTCACCTGTCCTTTAGCAACTGGCTGGAGTAATGTTCAGGGAGCCCCTGATGTTAAGCTAAAGGGCTTGGTTTTGTTCTTTAATAGAGACTGGCTGATGGCAGTTTCCATTGTCGCTGGCTATTTCTGTTCCAGTCAAATCCTGCTTCCATAGCTGTTGTTCTTGGCAAACTCGATCACTTTGGTGTTTATGGAACGTGGTTTACTTGGAAGGTGAGTGAGTTGTAACTGCTCTCATTCTGCTTTGAGGAAGTGGCAAGAGTCTTTGTCTCGGAGGATCAGGCCTGCATGATCCATGTCACCCACCCATCCTCCATCCACCCACCCACCCATCCATCCAGACTCCTAGAACTTCTATGCATCTTTTCCAGCCTGCAAAAGTACTGCTTTTTGCACATGTCCTTGTAGAGCAGAACAGAGCCAGACCCAGTTGATTCCTTCCAGAGAAGAGAGAAAGCCTTAGCCTGAAGGCCATTAGTTTAATCCCCTGCTTATTTACCCTACAGTGGCAGAGTGTTCAGTGCACCAAGGATTCTGTAGCGCTGTCCGCCCAGATATGGTTGGACTGTGTGGTACCCTACAGATGAGAATAAGAATAATACAGGACTTCAGTGCTGAGGAGAGACTGAGGGACGCTGCACTAATAAACACAATTTCTAGCCGCTGTTTGGAAATGGGGGACGGGAGGGATCACATGAGGATGACCGGTTGTGTTCCCTCCCTCTGGGGCATCTGGCATTGGCCACTGTGGGCAGACAGGACACTGGGCTAGATGGACCTTTGGTCTGACCCAGTCTGGCCGCTCTGATGTTCTTACAAATAAATGTTCCTGAGCCATGCATCCTGTTGAATCTGCTCTCTGGGGAATGAGGCCTTTCTCCCTGCACAGGAGGTGTGGCTTGTGCCAGAGAGTGAGAGAGTCCAGAGGTGCCTCAGGCATCTCCTGCATGCCCGGAAACTTCTTTTTCTCAACGCCGGCAGCTTCTCTTAGGCTTCTGTCTGAATCATCTTGGCAGGCGCGTCCTCCATCGCTGGCAGGGCCATCGCCACCATATGAGTTGCTCCAGTGAATCTTGTCCTGGATGTGGTATTGTCAGCTTTACCCACACGCTATCCTTCAGTCAGCAGCTGGGAGGCTCTCGCTGCACGCTTGCAAGCACAGATCTGTCCAGGGGCCCATGGGGCTAGGACTTAAAAGTAGCTGAGTGTTAGGGCGCTACACTGAGCTGCAGCCATAGGTGGCTGAACATGTTCTCTTGTCAAGGGAGGGGGGGTTAAAGCCAGATTTTAATGAGGTTTGATTTCCTATATTGTTCAGTAATTTTTTTCTTCCTGTATTTCAAGTGACGCGGGATCTCTGGATATGCCGGCTGAAGAACTGTCTCTCACTGGCACTTTACATGTGTGCAGAGAAGAAATACCATTTGGATTAATCTGACATTCCTAGTTACTCTGTATTTTCAAACCTTACACCATGGCTGTGTCTACATTGGCCCCTATTCCGTAATAGGGATGCAAATGTAGCACTTGGGAATAGGCAAATCCGCGGGGGATTTAAATATCCCCCGCGGCATTTGCATTTTCATGGCTGCCGCTTTTTTCCGGCTTGTAGATAAGCCGGAGAAAAGCGCCAGTCTAGACGTGATTCTCCGGAAAATAAGCCCTTTTCCGGAGGATCTCTTATTCCTACTTTCAGGAATAAGAGATCCTCCGGAAAAGAGCTTATTTTCCGGAGGATCGCGTCCAGACTGGCGCTTTTCTCCGGCTTATCTACATGCCGGAAAAAAGCGGCAGCCATGAAAATGCAAATGCCGCGGGGGATATTTAAATCCCCCGCGGATTTGCCTATTCCCAAGTGCTACATGTGCATCCCTATTACGGAATAGGGGCCAATGTAGACGTAGCCCATGTGCTACTTCTCTATGAGAAGGTGGAGCTTTTCCTAAACTGAGTTTAATGACCCTCGTGGCTGAGGGTCATGTTTAGGGATTGAATTTGGCAACACTGGATCTGAATGCATCTGCTTTGTTAGTGCCTGTGGGTAGGTCTACTCTACAGTATGGGTGAAGGTTGGCTTAAGGTACACAATTCCAGCGATGTAAATATCATCACTAGACTCTGTACCTTAAGCTGAGCTACGGTGCCGTCCTTACTGAAACACTCCCGTCGACTTCCTTTACTCCTCACGATAGCAAAGAGTATCGGCATCGACAGCAGTACCTTCAGTGTTTGATTTAAGGTGTCTCCACTAGACTTGCTAAATCAAATGCCAGAAGATCAATCACTACAGCGTCGATCTTCCCACTAACGTAGACGTGCCCTAAGCTGACGGACTGGGACTGTTAGCGTGGATACATCACTTTGTAAACCTTTACATGTGGCTTATCCACTAGAGGAAGACAGAGAGCCATAGAGTGGTATTGTAGATTAAGTGGCACGGAGAGAACAGCATGAAACAAGGTACTTGAAGCTGGATCGTGGCCTTGCTCTCTGGGTGATGGTAGGCACTTTCGGCCTTTGCCATGCCCTGTCGTGCATCCTGCTGAGTGAATTCTTGGGAGCAGCTTCACAGAACAGGACTTGGCGTATGGAAGTCTCTCCATGGAGACTTCCCAAGTGATCCCTTGTGTGTCAGTTGGAGCCAGCCCCTCAGCTGTTCACAACTCCCCCCCCCCCCCCCCCTCCCCC